ATTTGGCTTTCAGCAAGGACACTGTAGGGAGTTGAACCCCATTCCACTAATGTGAAAGTACCACACCTCGTGGTCAGTGCATATAAACTCTGAAAGAAGAAAGTGAACTACATCTGAAATGGGATGAAACCTGGCAGCATAAACAGACTAACTTGTAGCATAGCCTAGTAAATGAACTGGGCAGGACATATTATTTAGCCCTGTAATATAGGCTAGAGAGAGAGAGAGAGAGAGAGAGAGAGAGAGAGAGAGAGAGAGAGAGAGAGAGAGAGAGAGAGAGAGAGAGAGAGAGAGAGAGAGAGAGAGAGAGAGAGAGAGAGAGAGAGAGAGAGAGAGAGCGCGCGCAATGGCAGTAAGGGTTTCCACATCAAAAAATTGTTTTGAAACTACCAAAATAGTGTGAACGGATAAGCCAATGGCGCGGAGCAAGGGTGTGTCGGTCAGACAGTCTTATAACTGCACAGGTCTCTCACTCAACTTAATAAAGAGAAATGTCCCACAAAGCAACGTTACAGGACCAAACAACAGTAACGTAGTAACTGTAACTATCTTTGGCAACTTACATGAGGAAAAAAAATACCACAGCTGTACGTGGAGAAGCGTCTGTCCTCCTGTCTGCCCTCCCGCCTGTCCCACCGACTGTTCCGTTACGTTTCTGCCTGAAAAACAGCGTCTGTCACCGGCGAAAAACTCAATGCGATCAAAAATCACCGCGACTGCCAGCCCTCCAGGCCGAGACATCAGTTTACTTTCGACTGGAAAGCATTCTCCGTCTTGCGAGTGAGGGAGTCAGACTGCGTCCAGTTTACTGCTGGTGATTATGTATAATTATGTAATTTAGAGTGAAAAACGTAACTTCGTCACTTTCCAGGATGTTTGGTGGGTCAGGATCTCAATCACTACACATTAGGGCTCTGCAGTGATTGGCTCTGGTGCACACGTGCCTATGGTGGCTATGGTAATGCTAGCGGAATTCTAAATAATTTATGAAATCATTTATTAACTGTATCTTTGTAGTCCAAACAAAGCTGACGTTGCACACCCTTAAACCACACAGCAGCCATGTTGAAACTCTCAGGTCAGTCTGATCCTGATCTGCAGAGTTATTTGAGACACACACACACACACACACAGACAGACAGAGATTCCTTGCTTTATAGATAGATAACTAACTGATAATGCTGGTGGCATCATTGCTTACAGCAACAGCACTGAAGCTGAACCTGTTCCTGTTGGAACTATTGGACAAAGGACACCATAGGGTAGGTCTATAAACAAGCTTGCAAGGCTCATCTCTGGGGAAATGATTCATCCTGGGTTCTGTATCTATTATACTGTTAAGTTTTGCGAGTTCAGTTTCTTTGGTAATTCTCACAAGATTTTTTCACTTTTTGGGCACAAAGTAAGTGTGACAGGGTCAGAAATACTCCGGTGCATGTTCATTTGAATGTTTTTATTGGATTATTTGAGATACTGTTTATATGCATGATGTTTTAGTATTGTGTGTAATTTGTATGCTTTTATACGTGCTGTTTCTTTTATTACTTAGCATGAGTTATAATTGTTTTACGTATTGTGAACTGAACTGTGAACTGTGACCTCGGAAGTTACGCCCCAACACAGCGCAGTTTACAAGATGAACGGCAGGTGTGCGGGAGCGGCGCATAAAGGGACTGGTGATAGACGGCATGGGAAGTGTAATATCCTGAGATTGCTAATATTTGGTATTAACCTAGAGGGCGCTCTTGGGAATCCAAGTGTGTGTTACCCGGCAGGAAGTTACCTGCCAGGAAAGGTATAGGTAGAGGCCCCCTGGTGGCATGTGTGTGTTATGTCTGTGCTGCCTGAAATGTTTGATTAAAGCCACAAGAAACCTACTATTGAAGCCCTGGGTCCTCCTTTGTCAAATGCTGATCCACTATGTTATATTGGCGACGAGGATACTTTGGAGATATGCTGCACCGAGGCAAGAGCACAGAGAGTGGATTTGGCTGATTGTTTGAAGACTCCCTGAGAACAAAGGACTTAGTGAAGGGAGGAGGACACATGTGGGTGAGATGGCAACAATAGGGACACTGCCACCATTTGATCGCAATATGCAAACTTGGGAGGAATACTGTGAAATTATGGAACACTTTTTTATTACAAATTATGTTGATGATGAAGATAAAAAGAAATCCATATTGCTCAGTGTGGTGGGGGCACAAACCTACAGTTTGATGAGAAAGTCCTGCAAAACCTGGAGAAAAGACTTTTGCACAGTTGGAAGCATTACTGAAAAACCACTTTAATCCCAAGCCAAGTGAAATCGTCCAGAGATTTAAATTTGATTCACGTATGAGAAAACCCACAGAATCTGTTGCTGAATATGTGGCTGAATTAAGGAAACTGTCCCAGGACTGTAATTATGGAGAGACATTATCACAAATGTTATGGGACAGGCTGGTGTGTGGGATAAATGATGACAGAATCCAGAGAAGATTACTATCAGAGACTGCTCTCACATTTGAAAGTGCCTTGTCTCTAGCCCAAGCTATGGAATCTGCAAATAAAAATGTGCAGGATTTGCAAATGAAAGTGGGAGCTATGTCATGTAATGCAATGAAAAGTGGTGAATCAAAGAGCTATGGAAAGGTACAAATTGACAATGAGTGTTACCGCTGCAAGGGGAAACATGCACCCACAGACTGCCGTTTCAAAAAGGAAAAATGTCATGCGTGTAGAATGATTGGACACATAGCACAAGCATGTCGCAATAGGAAAAAGGACAATGCAGAAAAGTGGACTGACAGAAGGCCAAGAGAAGGAAGAGGAAGGCGCTTCAAGCAAGAGCGCAAGGTACACTATTGTTCATCCAGAGTGGCAGAGGAGAGTGATGAGGATCAACCACTTTCTCTGTACTATGTCCAGGGCAAGGATGGAGAAGAGAGGGAGCCACCCTATAAGGTTTGCATGGACCTAAATGGGGAACCAGTGACATTTGAAGTAGATACTGGATGTGGTTTCACAATAGTGAATCAAATAACATTCAGAGAAAAAGTAAAGCATGCTCCTCCATTAGAAAGAATCCGCCTAGATTTGAGAACATATAATAAACAAAGGATAAAGGTGCTCGGAAAAGATAATGCCCATTATAGTAGTTAAAGGCAGAGGTCCAAATTTATTGGGAAGATGGTGGTTGAAGCATGTTAAACTAGACTGGGCCGAAATCAAAAGCCACGTGCAGCACATTACAAACCACCCACAATCCCTGACCCTACAGCAAGTGCTCACAAAGCATGAGGAAGTGTTTAAAAAGGAACTGGGGACCTTAAAAGGGTTTAAAGCCACTATTCAAGTGTCTGCTGATGCTACTCCCCGCTTTTATAGACCCAGGTCTGTTCCCTATGCTATGAAGCCTAAAGTTGATGCTGAGATTGAAAGGTTGATCAAAGAGGATATCATCACTCCAGTTAAATATTCGGACTGGGCTGCTCCTGTTGTTCCCTTACTCAAGCCAGACGGAGACTGTAGACTTTGTGGAGATTATAAATGAACTGTTAATAGAGTCTCCACCCTAGAACAGTACCCCATACCCAAAGTGGAGGATTTGCTGTCTGTGTTAGCCGGAGGACAGCAGTTCACTAAACTTGACATGAGTCATGCATATCAACAAATCCAAATGGATGACCAGTCTAAGAAGTATCTAACTGTGAACACTCACCGTGGCATGTTTACATATAACAGACTACCATTTGGTGTGTCCTCTGCTCCCGCGATCTTCCAAAGAACCATGGAGGGGGTCCTTCAGGGAATACCCCAAGTTGCTGTTTATTTGGATGATATTTTGGTTACCGAGGCAACTAGAGAGATGCACCTCAGGAACCTGGATGAGGTGTTAACCAGGTTGGAAGATGCTGGTCTCAGGCTAAAAAGAACCAAATGCACCTTGCTGGCTGATGAAGTTCAGTACCTTGGATACAAAGTGGATGCTAAAAGGATTCACACTGTGGAAAACAAGGTAAAAGCTGTTGTTGATGCCCCCACACCAACTAGTGTGACAGAGCTTAAAGCTTACTTAGGCTTATTTAACTATTATAATCGCTTCCTTCCCAATCTTTCCACATTGCTTGCCCCTTTATACTATCTGTTGAAGAAGAATGTAAGCTGGGAATGGAGTGAGAGTCAAAATGAAGCTTTCCTAAAGTCTAAAGACTTCTTAAAATCAGCAAACGTATTAGTGCACTATTCAGGAGACAAAGATTTAATATTAGCATGTGATGCCTCACCATACGGTGTGGGAGCTGTGCTGTCTCACAGGTTGGACAATGGAACAGAAAAACCAATCGGATTTGTCTCCCGAACCTTGACACCAGCGGAGGGAAAGTATTCGCAGCTGGATAAAGAAGGTTTGGCTGTGATTTTTGGTATAAAAAGGTTCCACAAATACCTCTATGGCAGGAACTTTACAATTGTAACAGATCACAAGCCCCTGATTTCACTGTTCAATGAAACTAAACCTGTACCTCAGATGGTTTCACCACGGGTTCAGCGGTGGGCTGTCTGGCTCAGAGCTTATGAGTATCATATAGTGTACAGGCCAGGAAAACAAAATGCGAATGCAGATGCCCTCAGTAGGCTTCCCTTGCCAGAGGCACGCCCTGCTGTAGGAGGGGAGGAGGAGCTAGTGCTGATGCTGGATGTGATGGATGATGCACCTGTATCCACAGAACAAGTAAGACAATGGACAGCCAAAGATGTAACACTGTGGCATGTACATGAGTTTGTGTTAAGAGCCTCAATTCATGCCTTATTTTACCCAACGCTTAGAATTAAGTGTTCGAGATGGATGTGTGCTGTGGGGTGCTCGGGTCATTATTCCTCAGCAAGGAAGAAAAATGTTGCTGAAGTTGCTGCATCAGTCCCATCCAGGAATGTCTAGGATGAAAGGTTTGGCAAAGTCATATGTTTGGTGGCCTCGGATGGATCGGGATGTAGAAAGTGAAGTACACCGGTGTGAAGCCTGTCAAAGGCACAGCAAGTCCCCTACTACAGCACCATTACATCCATGGGAATGGCCGGAGAAGCCAGGGACTCGACTTCACATGGATTATGCGGGTACCTTTTTAGGCAAAATGTTTTTGGTGCTGGTTGATTCACATTCTAAGTGGATGGATGTATATTCAGTAAAAACAGCAACCACTCATGTTACCCTTGAGAAACTCAGACAAAGCTTCAGTATCCATGGATTACCAAAAATGTTGGTGAGTGATAATGCTACCTGCTTTACAAGTGCTAAGTTTGCAGATTTCATGTCCAAAAATGGTATAAAACATGTGACTTCTGCCCCTTTTCATCCTTCGTCTAATGGGTTGGCCGAAAGAGCAGTTCAGACCTTTAAGGAGGGGATGAAGAGGATGCAAGGAGGAAAGGAGAGCTTGGAAACTAAAGTGTCGAGATTCCTGTTTAGTTACAGAATCACTCCACACTCCACCACAGGTTTGTCCCCGGCAGAGATGCTCATGTCCAGGAGGCCCCGGTCCATGTTTGATTTGTTACTCCCAGACTTGAAAACCAAGATGGAAAAGAAACAATGGAAACAAAAAGCTCATCATGATAAGACTATCAAACTCAGATGTTTTAATCCAGGAAATCTAGTTTTTACAAAGAACTATGGATACGGTCCCAAATGGATCCCTGGAACCATTGAGAGCTGCACAGGTCCACTGTCATATACAGTTCTCACCGAGAATGGACAGGTTTTGAAGAGACATGTTGATCAGATCAGGAGGAGGGAGCCAAGCAGACTTCCTGAACTAGATCCCAGTACACCCCAGGTTGTGACTAACCCACCAACTGTGGTGCCAGAACAAGTACCGTCCTCTGTATCTGTCTGTCCAACAACCCCTGTGAAGAACCCTGAGAGTGGTCTACCTAAGCTGGAGAGTGCGCCTAATCCTGTAGTGCAGGAACCACAAACACCAAGCTTGAGACGCTCTACTAGAGAGAGGCGTCCTCCAGACTATTATAGACCATAAATGTATGGCTAACAGACGGAGAATGTATTGGTTAATTAATTTCAGTTACTAAAATTCTTAGAGGGAATTAAAGGCTAAGTTTTAAAAGTGAAGAAAAAATATACACTGTATGTTATTATAATTTTGAGGAACTAAAATTTAAGTGAGGAACATGTATAATGTAATTTAATTTTACTTTCAGTTAAGTGATGGCTGCAGACCTGAGAGGGGAGGGATGTAATATCCTGAGATTGCTAATATTTGGTATTACCCTAGAGGGAGCTCTTGGGAATCCAAGTGTGTGTTACCTGGCAGGAAGTTACCTGCCAGGAAAGGTATAGGTAGAGGCCCCCTGGTGGCATGTGTGTGTTATGTCTGTGCTGCCTGAAATGTTTGATTAAAGCCACAAGAAACCTACTATTGAAGCCCTGGGTACTCCTTTGTCAAATGCCGATCCACTATGTTATAGGAAGGAAACGGACAGAACGTGTGGACAGAACGGTTCGACACCTCCTCGGTGACAGCAACGGCCAAACTGCAGAGCAGCCCCCCGACGACGAGCATTGGAGCGCCAGTTTTACTCTGGCCTGGGTTGGCAGACGGACATCTGCCACCGGGAAGACCGTGAGTAAAAAGATACATTTAAGTGGCAGATAGAAAGAGTTGGGTGGGGGAGAGGTGAGTTGGCATACGTTTAAGGGGACACACTACTCGCCCTGCGTTTCTATCTCCCACAGCCACGGCGGAGGGCCTAGACGCTGGTGCTGAGTGAGAAGACCAAAAGTTGCTGGGCGACCGTGGACTGTGCATGAGGGACGCAGTATTTTATGGACAATTACAGACTGTTCAGGCTTCACCACAACAGTGGTGTTGCTTTTTTATCTTTTAGTGTTGTTTTAAGTGGTACCATCTTTTTATCTGTAGTAAATCCTTTTAAATGAATTTTTTTCTCTTGATGGACTTTTGACTCTGCCAACCCCAATTTAGAAGAACCTGTTTTTTTAGGAGTTGTAGGCTGCGTATTAATCCTAGGTGGCGTTGTCGGCTTTTAATTTAGATAATTTTACAGATTTTAAACAGGCCCTGGAATTAGAGGTTTGGGCCCGGCCACATAAGGATTTAAAAATGCACCTGCTAGTATCCTGATTATTCATTTTCGTGTAAACGAATCCTCTGTTGTAAGTCACGTTATACATTTCATTTCCTATATGCAGCCTGGTCATGAATTATGAGACCAGACACAGACCACCCTCCATCTCACTGGATCAGTCTGTGCAAAGAAACTACAGTTCTGCTACAGCTGGGCTGTGGTATGGAACAGAGGACTCCTTGGACGGCCTACTTTGGTGATGGAACCGGACAAATCTTTCCATCAGCGTCAGCAGTCTTAAAATTAAGTGAGAGGAAATGTGGATTTCTGTCAGTGAGAAAGAAACAAGCAGTCAGTATATCGTAGTATATCACTGTATATTATCTCTTTACTGTCTGTGTACTCGTGATGTAAATCTCTTTCAACAGATCCAGTTAATATATTCAGAAAAGCCCTCCTGTCTTTGATTCTGGTGTCGGTGACCATTTTCCTTTATTTCTGTTGCAAGGTACTGTGTACATATTTGTTCCTGAGAGGTTTGGCTAAAATCCAGAATGCAGTCTGTGCATATTTAACTGGAACAGAGGAAAGATGCAACCAGTTAAATGTGCATGCTGTCATGTCTCTGCAGGCCACCAGAGGGCAGAAATCAACCACACAGGAGACGACTGAGGTGGAGTATCATTACCTTGATGTTGTCAGAGCCTGAGGGGGCCCTGCTGAGGAGGAAGGAGCCCAGCAGTAGGACCCCAATGATCCTATGCCACATCCAGACAGGTTTATTTGCTGCCACACCATTTATCAGTTCAGTCAGGAATTGTATATTTTCATATTGCAGAAGAGAAGAGTGCTTGTATCAGTGAGTCAAACATAAAGGATGACAATTAAATTCATTCATTTTTTCTTGTGTCTGTAACTGTCTTCAGACTATAGACTCTTTTTTGTTTGGGTCAAATGTTATGGATCTGCCACACACAATGCCCATGTATTATTGTTCCAAAACCACAAACCACAACAGACCTTTTCCACTTAAACATTATTCCAGCAACCCAGTCACGTTTTATTGTGTTCACATTGGGCGATGTTATGTTGGCTACTGTGGGACTGTGCCTTGTTTACTGGCTGTTCTGTCCGACACTGTCAAGTCACAGTAGTTTCCAAGTTACGTGTAGATATCAGCCCTATGCTATTTAACTGTTTAACAAGCACTCACATAAGACCCTAAACAACTTCAGCTTAATAAAATGTTGCTGGGTGACATTGTATTAAGCTAAATTGTAATAGTGCTAGTTGACAATGGTCAACTTGAGCATAAAATCTATCGTGGGGCTTTGCAGTGTGTTGTACGGGGAAGAAGGCCGTGCTGGAGCAGAGGTACACGGTTAACTTTGCATGAGTATGTGAAGCAAAAGCTTTCTTTCTGTGTGAACACTGTGACGACTGTCCACTCTTTCTTCCTGTTTCTGTTTGTGTGGCTGCTTTCTGTGTAGGTACTAGAGGTGGGTGTAGCAGAGGCTCAATAGCAGCTGTGTCAGTGCGCCTTCAAAAACCCTCTTGGAGCTGAGTACTGGTTCTCTCTTCAACTACTACAACTATTGGGTTTTGGTTTGGTGGTTTGATTGTGTTGCTGTACCTTACAACACAGCACTCACACACTTCTCCACTCATGCTCTCACACCGCTGATCTCACCGATTTCACATTCTGAGTTTTCCTCTTAGTTTTATTCTTTGCCTAAATAACAACTAGTAACGTGATTTTGGGAAATTGTAATCACCCAACCAATTTTGACAAAGTATTGAGAAAAAAGAAATCAGAATTGTCTCCCTGCTGTATGAGGACCAGGGAATGAGGGGACAAACTGTCAGTCTCTGCCCTAAACCCAAACCCTTTAAGCTGGATGTAAAGTTGGATGTGTCTCCAGGGTGTAGATAGAGAATAAGATATTCCTGTGAAAAGGATTCCCCCCTGAGAGCTAAACTGTGAAGTAAAGGGGTCCACACCTACACATACAGTGGAGGGTGGTCAGGCTCATCCAGCTTGCCAGATATTGACTGGTAAAGGAATACCTTTTTATGAGACTTGATGATGAAATGTAAACAGGGTTTATGTGACATCATGACTGCCAAACCACACTAAATCAAACCATGGTGTTGATTGCCACAGCGCCTGGGTACACCAAGAAACACATCTTATACCGATAGTACAACCTTGGCCCTGGCCAGCAGTGGGGTAAATTCTAGAGACAAAGGGAATGAGCAGACAGGAAGTCATCCAATGGTGGTGTATTGCTCTTTAGCTCTTCAGTTCTACCATGAAACCTTGAGGATTTAAGATGGGGGTGTAAACCTATCATGGGTCAGACCACACCACCTCAGTGAGTCTGTCAATATGGAGAATAATGAATATGTTTGCCTATGTCACTTCCTGAAGGCTCCCTGCTGCAGATAGTTGGTATGGGGTGGAGAACTGGAAAAAGGGAAAAGTTGATTGTCTAAGCAGCTGCTCTGAAGACTTTGGGGAAGTTGGCCCTAAATGATGATTGTTAAGGTTCTTAGTCCAACCTAACCAGGAGGATCAGGGCATTGGGGTCACCGCTAGGAATCATGTTGCATGGTCAAGACGAAAGCTATTAGTAGTTCAGTCAGCCAACTCGCGTTTGAAATGTTTATTACAGCAGTATAGCATATTTAGATTTTGGCGTCTAGGCTCCGACCTCATCATTCCCTGCAGATATGTTTACATAGAGATATTGGGGAGTGATGAGCAAATACCTTAACCCCTAGCCGTAACCTACAGACTGCCTGAACGAACTGCTCCATTTCTGAAAAACTGTGGAAGGATATTTGCTCGTGACAGCTGACTGAAAGTGGATTCAGCTGTTTGAGAATGGCCACTTTTTATAGCTCATATTGATTGGCTGGCTGAGTATGTATGAGGTAAATGTCAGTGTAGCAGCTAGTTGGCTCCTGCAAGAAACTCTCGTGCTCCATAAATGTAATACACTTTTTCAGAAATGAGAAAAGATTGTTGATCGTGTTCCTTCATGACCTTCCTGTTCAGCAGTTAACCATAATGAATACACCCAGTTATCTTGTATGTGAACATACATACCCATGCACACAAGTGTGCACATGTGGTTGCATGTGGTTGTGTCTATATACATCCATCAGCTTCCTCTTTTCTAGAAAAGATGCACATAGACTGTGAGCCAGTTTCCTTTTCTCTCTTATTTTCTTATCTGAATTATTTATTGATTTTTACAGGGTGACTGTATTTAGTTTACTCAATATTTGAAATCATAATTTCAACCTGTTTGCATTATGTAGAAAAGAGTCATACACCATCTATGTTCTTAGCAGTACGTTTAAAAAGAATCCACAGTTTATAGGAAGTAGTTGGTTTGGAGATCTTTTGTGACAAACAAGAATTTATAAAAATGTTTTCAAGAACTTGGGTTTGTTTTAATTTACTGAATGCATAGGTGAGTTTGTAACATTTGAGGAACCAGTGTTAGTTCCAGTTAGACTTTTTCTTAGTTGTATGACTCAGCAACAAGTGTCCACGTGGTTTTCAAACTCAAGTGTGTCAATGTCACTTACTTCACTGTACCTACACAGTATGTGTATCTCATCTAAGCCCTGGCAGAGAGACTGATGATTCAATGGTCGGGTAGTGTAATAAAACCAGAACAATCTCAATGACAACTGAACTAATTTCATCCCATTATGGAGGCCATGAGATGTTGCTACAACCAACAGAAACCTTCCCACTTCCTGAGCCTTGTTCTAACAATCTTTTCAAACTAAAATTTCCAAAGTAATTAATGGATCTCAAAATAAATCAATGTTGTACCATGAGTGTGTACTATACCAAATAGCAGACATTAATATGATAGCAAGAAAGGAAACCTTCACTGGGATCAGCCAAAGGAGAGAGTCTAATATATCACATTTTATGATAAACAATGCCTCACTGCATATTTATATTTCTGGATTATGTAACCTGACACACCACAAATAATAATTGTTGGTATTTTCAAGGATCGTAATGTTGTCTTTTCTGACATCTACTTGTTTTTCATTACAATAAGTACAGAAGAACCTTTATTCAGCATTTTCTTTATTTAATATTCCCTGTTGTCATGCTTCATGTTGAAATGTCCACATAGGTCTGCCATTTAAACCAACAGAGGCAAACAACTTGTGTTGGTTTTCATGAAGACGCAGCAGTGTTGAAACATTAGTCTGTTTGCAAAATTGGAAGAAGAAGAAGACAAACAACAGTTTCCTGTTGAATCTCTGCCTTTAGGGATCTTCAAGTTGAAGCTAATTTCATCCACCATCCAGCACTTTGATGATGAATTCACTTGAACTGAAGTTCTATACTAGTGCCAAACAAACTGCAGTCATATGTTTAAAGTAAAATTCTCTGAAAGCACAAAATGCCAACTATGGAATATCTTTGTGAGCATAGAGGTGACATAGTGAACTTGTTAATCTACAACAAATAGAATATTTCCTAGTTGCTTTGAATGTTGCTTGTGCTGCTGCACTCTATAATTAAACTACTGAGTACTTGGAGTTAGTAGAAAAACCAGCAGAAAGGAGGAAGTGTTTCAGGAAGAACAGCAGTGTGAAGTGTCTCTGTACACCACAGCTTTTAGTTGAGTTTTATCCTCTGCTCTGCCACTGAACACTCATACAGAGCATCCTTTCTGTCTCAGCCATGGGGAGCACACAACACAGAAACTTCTGTTTGATCACAGGTGAGAAGCATTTTCTGGAATTGAAATGTCTTCATTGTTTTTATATACAGATAGTACAGGAAGGAGGACTTTCAGAATCAGTGCTCAGTTTAAAAATCCTCACAGTTCTCATTTCATTGAATTCAATTAGGAAGCTAAATCACAAAGAGGGTGTCTTATATTTCAGCCTGTTTCAGCTTATATAATGAGACATGGTATTTTTTCTCCCCTGTAGTCTCTCTTCTCTTGACCGTATCTCCACCTGCTGCAGGTCAGTGCATTCTCCTGGGTTAAATACTTGCAGTTCTTCTCTGTATAAATACTAAAATTACTAAATATATTTTTTGTCTCTAGGCATACCGATCAGATTAACTGGGTCTGGGTCTACTCGGTGCTCTGGAAGAGTTGAAATCTATTACAATGATAACTGGGGAACAGTCTGTGATGACAGCTGGGACTTAAATGATGCTAAGGTGGTGTGCAGAGAGTTGGGCTGTGGTGCGGCACTGAGTGCCCCTCAGTCAGCACACTTTGGTTCAGGAACTGGACAGATCTGGCTTGATGATGTGGCCTGTTCAGGAAGTGAAAGGTCTCTAACTCAGTGTCAGCATGGAGGATTTGGGGCACACAACTGTAACCACGGTGAGGACGCTGGTGTGGTCTGTTCAGGTGAGAAGACATTTGGATCATTTACAGAATATCAAATAAATATAAACATATGATCTACTGTTTTCACTATCATCCAGTCATTGTGGTTTATGTTGTGTGTTGGTTGTTACCGTAAAAATATAGCTGATCACTAACTTAATGTAAATATAAAATTATTTATTTAAAGTTAATTAAACTTAAAATAGCAAAAAATAAATCTAATATATAAATGTATAAAGAGATAAATATGGAAATATAAAGAGAATTGCATGAAATAATCCAAAGAACAAATTAAAGTATTTTAATTAATTTTCATATTTATTTGTTTACTAATTTCTATATATGTTTTAATATATATTAATTTTTTCAATAAATGACTAAAATGTTTTTCTGTATATTTAAAGTTTTTTTGTTTTCAGTGACGGTGTATATATGCTGCTGTAGCTCAACCCAGATCATTTTGTTATATTCTTTATGACAGTACCACTGTACATTTAAATGTCCACTAGTTCTGCTCAATCACTCATCGCTCTCTTCTGCTTTTAGACACTTTGTTGCTAATCCAACAGTTGCTTACATACTATCAGTTCAGCAACGCAGTAAGGCACAAAGCACAGCACGAACATGAGACACAGCACTAATACCAGAGATATCCTTTTCACTGTGTTCATGTATGCATGATGGCTGCCCTGTGAATCCTGCGTCTGATTGGACCGTTGGTTGCGCACGTCCTCAGAAACTAACGCGACACGTTCACGTCACTGACGCATTCGCTTTCAGCAGCAAGTTTATCTCCAGTTTAAGAGGCTGTACAGGGACCATTTTTCCAGTAGATCTTCCTCAGTGTTAAACACTGGAAAACAATGGGTAATCACACTCTGCAGCAGAATGTCTAAAAGGGAATCAATTTGTGTTTGACTTTGGCTAACATACTCATGATACCTAGCACAAGTCTATTTCTTTGCTTGTGGGTATATCATTGGTTGCTATATACAAAAAACCCTCTTTATAAAAAAAGTTATTTTCTCTGTGTTCTGTCTGTAGGCATACCGATCAGATTATCTGGGTCTACTAGGTGCTCTGGAAGAGTTGAAATCTATTACAATGATACCTGGGGAACAGTCTGTGATGACAGCTGGGACTTAAATGATACTAACGTGGTGTGCAGAGAGTTGGGCTGTGGTACAGCACTGAGTGCCCCTCAGTCAGCACACTTTGGTTCAGGAACCGGACCAATCTGGCTTGATGATGTGTCCTGTTCAGGAAGTGAAAGGTCTCTAACTCAGTGTCAGCACAGAGGATTTGGGACACACGACTGTGGACACGGTGAGGACGCTGGTGTGGTCTGTTCGGGTGAGAAATATTTTTGATCACTTTTCTCTTCTACTTACTATTGTCATCATCTTTTATGTGTACAGTTACCATGGTTACATGTTGAAGGTATTGTTTACCTGATTATACAATACTGTAATAGTTCATACACACAGGGTCTGTGTCACTCTGCTCTGCTGTAATACAACAGTACAACAGCCCTGGCTTCAGTGTTGACAACGTTTTAAATTGAAAGTAGCTGTTTGAAAAGTCATGTGCTAAATTGAATATTTGTGAAAATTTACATGATAAATACACAATCTTTTTCAAAATGAAACTTAAAATAAGATTAATTTCAGTGACTATTTAACTTTATCATTAGTTTTTACTATAATTCCAGTTGTTATCATGCATCTGCAAATATCTTAAATTCAAAATCTTTTCATGAAGTGTCATGTATAGAGGATCCAGACACTGGAATATTCTCACTCTTGTAAACTGTGTGTATTGCTCAACTGAATGTGTGGCAGTTCTTCCCCTCTCAATGAGCAGTCAGTACAGTTCAGTGTTTTTGTATTAAAGGTCCAGTGTGTCACATTCAGAAGGATCTTTGGCAGAGATTATTAGTCTCATCAGTCTACAGTCACCTGGAAATAAGAATCGTCTTTTCGTTACCTTAGAATGAGCTGTTTATCTACAGAGGGAGCGATTCTCTTCTGTGGAGTCTGCCATGTTAAACTGCCATCTTTCTACAGTAGCCCAGAATGGACAAATCTGATTCAGACACTGATTCAGATCAGATATGTTCTATTCTCCTGTCAACTTTATTAAAGGGTTGCAAACATAATTCAGCCCAAGATGCATTTAACATTTATTATCGTGCTTCTTTTTTAGCAAGCCTCCCAAAGCCCAGCATCTCCATGATTCCTGCTGGTGAGGTTACCTGGGGTCAGGATGTTGACATCACTTGTTTGATCTCACTTCACACTCAACAACTTTTAAATGGAACATTCATTCTAAACCAGACCTCAGGTTCAGTAAGAGAGAAGCAAACGTCAAATAACACTGCTACCTTCAGAATCAGTAAAGTGGACTTTGTTGACGAGGGATCGTACCAGTGTCGGTATCAAACGCAGGTTTCAAGTCAAGACTTCTTCTCGCCTCTGAGTGACTCCGTCAGACTCTCTGTTACTGGTAAGAAAATGAAATTAATAAATACAATAAGACACCAAACAACACAATAAGTACACAGCAGTAGTGTAGAAACACCACAAACTGTAACCTGAAAGGTTTCATGTCCAGAGCTGGAGAAGTATTTCTCATTATCAATGAATTAATTATAGATAAATGAGGTATCACTGAAAATATTTTCCCTGAACACATAAATATATCTTTACCTCTTTTCCTGTACATTTCCTGTCTGTTAAGATTCTGATATATGAAGATGCAGCAGCTACTACAATTAGCCAGATTGCGACAAACTACTATAAACAGACTATGCACAGACAGTTTTCATTTTGCCCAGAAAGGATCTGAGCTCATGGACTCGCTTGATGCCTCCTTGATTGCTATGATCCAGATACACCACTACATGTGGAATCCCCTGAAACAAAGTGTCCATTATCTTTTGGAAAATGGTGGAGCTAGAATTAGAGCTTGATTACAATTAGTATTTAAAGAGTGGTTTAATTGTGAGTGTTGATTTTGATATACTGTTTTGAATCCTCATCATGTCCAGCTTTGTGAATAGCTTATCCCATGACAGGGTCTCACACATATCATCCACCCATGGCAATCGGTATAAGACCTGATTCACTGTAAGCCTATAGTCTCCTCATATCCATGCTTTGAAAACTGAACGTGCTGATGATGCACAGCCTCTGTAAATGTTCCAGCTCCTCCTCAACCTTGCCCTTCATGGCATAGGGCACCAGCCGGGTCATGAAAAATCATGGGGCCTCCCTACCTTGGAAAATCTCAAAGTCAGAGGAGGAGTCCCCCATGTCGTACCATTGTTTTCTTATGGCACGGTGCACCTGGCATACGATCCTCTTGTGCAAGTCGTCAAGTTTTTCTACCGTTTTTATACGCTCATAAAAGTTGAAATAGCACCCAATAAAATCAAGTAAAAAGTGGGCTATACTTCGCCACTCTCTTCCTTTTTTTGATGCTAGTAGATGTGACAGTAATGGAGTATGTGAGAGGCAAAGGAGGAATTGCTCATGTTGTGATAGTTTTATGTAGGTTAGTTGTCTTTGAGAGAGAAAAAGTAAGGGTGTGTCTACTTAATGTGTATATATGTATATATGCATGTGTGTATACTGTATATATATATTCAGATTTTCATTCCATATATTCAAGTTTCATCTTATATCCAATAATTTTCTAAAAGGCATCCAATAATATATATATATATATATATATATATATATATAGTCACGTTATGAATTAATTTTGAAATGTTCCAATTAATTTATTAATAACACCAACTATAACATGCTCGAGTGCACCAACTCAGTTTTAAAGTATCATCACATATGTACCTTCTTTTTTCTGTCGTTTTCCTCAATAAATAAAAAGTTTAGCATGAAGATTAGTCCACACTCCTCCCTCAGCTGGAAAAGTGAGGAGTTCTTCAAATCTCACTTTTGTTGTGCTAGAGCACAGATAGATTCTTGCTTTCAAAGGAGCTGTCCCTCAGCATGTTCTGAGCTTGTGATGCAGCTTGGGCATCACAACTGGTTTCCGTGCAGGCCAAAGGGTGAGGCGTAGAATTGCAGAGGAGCTGACGTTAAATAACAGCAGCTAAAAATGAGAGCGATCCTGGGGGTCAATAATGAACTAACTAATAGTTTTATCTGAAAAAGGGGCTGATTGTGTGCAGTTTCAACAGCCCGAAAACTGCACCACTTGTTACAACTCTGTCAGTTCTTCTGCACAGATCATAACCATCTTTATTGATGAAACATAGTGGTTGGTGGGGATTGCTTTCTTAGTTGTTCACAAGTAATTTCTGCCACGTTTCAAACAGACAACACCCTCAAAAAGGTATTTTATGTCTTTATGATTATGTCTTTGAGGACATTTGTGCTAAAATGAAATTGACATAAATCTAAAATAAGGTAGAATTACAGTCAACATACTTTCAAACTATGTGTGAATACACCAATGCAGTAAAAATATGAATATGAAGATATGAAAATATTTATGCAATATGAAGATATGCCGACAACACTGCAGTGGCACCTCTACAAAAGATACAAATCTTTCAGAAGGTACAGAACCTAACAGGCGCAGATACAATGTCTCCTTAATGCTGAACACTAATATAAATACAGAAATAACGCTTCCTAACACTGTAATAAAACACGGTGAAACACTGTAGTAAAACACGGTATAACGCTGTAATAAAACACAGTGTAACATTGTAATAAAAGACAGTGTAACACTTTAATAAAACATGGTGTAACAACGTTATAAAACACAAATCACACTTAAATTAACAGTTAGAAGAATTGTGGATTTCTGTCTGTGAGAAAGAAACGAGCAACCAATATATTGTAGTATATCCCTGTTCTCTTTACTGTCTGTGTACTCATGATGTAAATCTCCTTCAACAGATGCAGCAGTTAATGAAATCAAAAAGGTTATCCTGTCTTTGATTCTGGTGTTGGTGACCATTTTCATTTATTTCTGTTGCAAGGTACTGT